CATAATAATACGTGGGCGTTATCATTAGAAAGATATTACAAAAAACAAAACCAAATGGTCTCTGAATGCTTGAAGCATTAAAAAAATACAGTTAACATAATATATATTACAGTGAATGGCCAGCGCTGTTATCAAATCTCTCCTATCTTAATACATCTTTTCTTTATAGGCCATTGTTTTTTTAATACCATACATAGAAAGATTTGTAATTTGTATTGATTTTTTTTTACCAGCAATTTGATAATTATTATACTATACAAAGATCTGATGTGATATTTAAGTTTTACTAATTATTATCGTACCTATATATTAAATGCTTGTATAGTTGTATATATATATTATTATAATAATTTATTAATATCAGAAATTATATATATACATTTTAGAGCTTCGGCTTAACAAAATAATGGCATACTACTTCGGTATTCACATAATAAAAAAACGATTGATATTTTGAAGTGGATTAGTGACGTATTTAATGTTTACAATGTCCCGATGAAAGGATGTGGAAAAATCTAAACAAATAACTAATAAATTATAGTCAATATAATATTTTGGAATTAATTATACCTATAGGTATAAAAAATAAAATAAAAAAAGGGATAAAACCACATCATCCCCCGTTTAAATAAGAACCGCATTATATACGGCAGTGTGGTGTATACTATGTATTTATAAATTTATAATATGAAATAAATTATACATTTTGTTATTAGTTATTACATTCACCCCACATATAGGTACACAAAATATTTAGTAGCTTATAAATTATAACTCTTAAGGTTTATGATAAACCTATTACTTTCGTGATTTTTAAACTAACGCTAAACGTAAAATTCGAATTTGTTTTGTATTTTAAATTACTTAGAGATATAATTTTATGCATAGCTAAAAAATAATATTTTAAATAAATTAAACCTTAAATTATTAATGTATAATAGGATAATTCTATAATCTACATTACTTGTGTAGTTGTGTAATTCTTCAGATATGTAAACCATATTCAATAGTGTACCTTTTTTTATATAGGTACCTGTAGTCAATTAATTCCAGAAACAATTAACAAACATTCTTTCTTATATTATTTGATAATAATATAATATAATGCATATTATAATCGCAATGACCGTGATTTGATGATAGAAGGCACGTAAACAATTATCGCAAAGTATACCAACAAATTAAAATTGAAGCAACAAAAATGAATCATTATTAAATGATTTATTGGTAAAAAAAATTTTTAAAAAATTACAATTAGCTTAAAATGTATAAGTTAATCAATGAAATATTGAACAATGAATATTTAATACACTTATTGCCTGAAAAATACGTTGATAATTAATGTATTAAAAAATAATTTTTCTATATCAATATTACATCCTAATTATTTCAATATCGCCAATATTTCTCTGAACATTTTTAGGCTATGTCCTCACAAGACTACATGAATTTCTCAAAAACACGTTTTAGAAACACATCGAATAAAAAATAAACATATCCAATAAAAACGCTTATGATGGTCTTAGTCATAGCCCATAGCTATTGTTTAACATTATAGAAATTCCTGAATATTTAATTTCCAAACAAAAATTAAATGTGTGATGGAAATATATTTGTTTTCATATTCAAACTTACTAACTTAGTTGGCTAGAATTTTATCATTATGTTCAACGTAACTGTAGAAATATATCCAAATTATCCAACAAAATGTATACGTACGTATTGTTGGTAGATTTATCAAATATTCAAATCAATAAATTATAGTAACTACCTAATATTTTGACCATACTTCAGACATAACAGTTAAATTTGTTATTTACATTTTTAATATTAAAAACTATTATTTTATAAAAATAACTATTGCTTAGGAACATTAAAAAAAAAAAATTGGTAACAATTTAAATAGAGAATAACTCCATGGTGGCTTGCATATGCCATAAGTTATTGACTTATATTAATTTTTGTGAGAAAGTTTGACTTTAAAATATTGCTTTATTAATATGAGTGGTTATAAATTATTAAAGTATAAAAAATAATCTATTACTATAAGACGATAAAACATAATATTTTATTTTTAAGTTTAAATAATTCAAAACTATAAAAGTTTGAAATATTTGAAACCATTTCCAGGTTCACACCACAAAGTTTATTTATACTAAGATTTATACTACTAGATTTTATACTAAAAAAAATAATAAAAATATTATATATTTTGGCATATAATAATTAATAAGTAATAACTAAATGAGTATAGATTATGGAACATTGGAACATAACATAAGCATACTCAGACTTTATTGCCAGCGTATGCAAAACAAAACATTTGATCCAGGACAATTTACCGTCGTTGGTCCTTCCCTTAAAAAAAATTCAGTAATAAAATCCAAAATTATTGTCATTAAAATATAATATTTGTTAAGAAATAATAACTATTTATAAAAAAAATATTAGAAGCATTTTGAAGTTAATTTCATTGAAAATGAAATTTCAAATGTACAAATATTGAGTTTTTTGAGAAAAAAATGGCCTTAAAGGAAAACAAATGGGTCTTAGCTTAGAGTGCGGAGTATTCAATGGCATACCCTGCATGGTTGCATAGTACTCCGTGCGCATGCCTATGGGACAACAACAAAATGTACATCATACGTACTTGTATACAAACTGGGAAAATCTCTTTGCTCTGGCTAACTATGTAGTGTAAGTTTCATGTATATATCGTTATAGAGAAGGTCTGAGGTCATTGTAATGTGTATATTGAATTCGAATTCAATGAAAATCATTGTATACAATGACCAAATTTGAACAACAGGGCGTACGGATGAGTATTTTATATTGTAGATGGAACACATCATAGAAATTGAGACATACTATATTTTTTTTAACAATTTCAACAATTATACGTTATACGTATGCTGGTTTTTTTAATATTAATATATTTCAAAAACATATTTTACACACAAACCACAATTTACAGTATAGATATTCAAGAATATAAACTTAAATATTAATTATAATATTTTGAGTACAAAATACCAAGCTAAAATTGTAAAAAATAATTCATTTTGGTCGTAGTACCTACATGTTTTTACTTTTTTGTACCGTAGCTTAAGAGCAGATATTATAGGTAAATAATAATTCATAATATAATGTTAAAACGCTTATAAGAAAATTAATACAGTACCTAATATCATCATATCACTGAGTGTAATCATTATTATTTATTAATATTAGGTTAAAATATAAAAAAAGTTGTTTATTTGATTGTTGTAACCACTATACATATATTTCCTTGTATATAAATCAATATACAATCAATGTACTCGCAATTTGTACTATGTGTATGTGTACTGTATTCACTAAACGTAATACGGCATGCGATGTTCTTGAAGGATAATTTTAAAAGAACTATTCAATATAGATACATAAAGATCAAATTATTTTGTATTAAATCAAGTTTTTAACCCTTCTACTTGTTAATATTTAGAAAATACTAAAATTAAAATCAAAATGAGATAGGTACATGAGTCCCTGTCCACTGACCACTAGTCACTACCAATTGTTACTAAGCCATTGCTTTTAAAAACGATTCAGAGCCGAGTTTGGTTTATTTAAGAACTTCAAATGTACATAGATACGAACCTATTTTATGAACCGATTTAATTTTACATCTATATGAAGTGCACAGAAATACTCCGAACTTCCATAGTTCCATCATATAATATCATTGTTATTTTTTTAAAACATTTTCAGATCACTATTATTACCTATAGTCTTAAATCTTAATAATTAAATAATATTATAATTTGATTGTATAATAATATTAGTTTTTAGTATGAATATATTTACTCATTCTAACACCTATATTGTGCTATTTAATATAAACTATGCAACAAATAAAGTACCTATATTATATTTCATATATTTTTAATTTTAATTGATTTTCGGAACTGTTTGAAACATTTTAATCCATTTAAATCTTACGTATTGAATTATTTGATAAAAGACGAAGTGGAATTATTCAAAACTATATCAGATTAATAGACTATCATAAGTCGATTGTTAAATTTTAACTATTAATTAATTTGTATAATTTTCTTAGGAATTAATATTTATAATAAATATTATGTTATATTTTATTAATATGAATGTATTGTAATATTGTATTGTATATAATATTATTATGTTTAGTTTTTATGAAGAAAAATAATATTGCGTTTTATGTGCGTCTTACAATTTAGAAGTTATCATATGGATACAACAATAGGTACATATTATTTTTGAATTTAAATTTTAAATTCGGAACCTATAGGTCTGACCGCCTCGGTAAATGGAAAATTCACTCTCTCACAATATTCCATGACAAATATAAAAAAAAAACATACCTAAGTCTTGGAAATCCGAATTCGTCACAGACACGAACCTTTCGGTATGGGTCAGACGCGATCCCCTCTGTGGCGTGTATTCTACCCTAACATTCTCAAGAACTCAACTCAAGGTGGTCAGAATGTCTATTGATGCGTGTGGGGAATATTTTTACAGCAGCAGCGCTGTATGTACGTCCTATTATACAGCGTAAATTACTTCGATCGTACGATATGCCATACGTATAGTGTGTGTGTGTGTGTGTGTGTACCCGAGATTATTCCTCTGAGCATTCCCCAAGCTATCATACATGTGTAATAAAGAAATCGTGCGCAACACGATACACATATTATGTACATATATATAAAAAAATTTATCTAAAATTAACAAAATTTTCCGCATGAAGATTGCTCCTAATTATCGAATCGCCCGGAGCGGTTTGTGTGGAAAAGAGCCGGTAATTAGCGTGACACGACCGGTCGGCTTATAGAGCAACAATATAAAAAAAAAAACACAACAAAATGGTAGACAGAAATAAATTGTTTAAACAAAATACCGATTGTCGAATGTATTTGAACATCGGTGAATAACGATAAGATATTACTTATATTAACAATATTATCATTGATTGATAGTTCACTGTGAATCGTGATGCGAACAACAATATGCTACAACCGGCACACGAATGTGGGTATGCTCTCTCATTTTAAATGCCGGACCCGGTCACCATAAATATGATCAGTTTTGATATGTTCTTTTTTTCGTGAATTTTACTACTTTATATTACTGCATTCATACGGACAACGTTTTATTTGACAAAAACAATAATTATCTTACATTGTTTTGGCTACACACACGTCGATCGCACCAGATCATGGACCTGCACACAGCGTGTACACTGAATCACCCAAAGGTGATTGACATGCTGCCTCTAAGGTAATGATTATATTCAATTATATGTTAAGAAACTTTTATGTACTTACGAAGGGTTAGCGTATGTTTTGTATTCGAAATTCCAGCCGATAGTTTTCTACATTTAAACATATTTATCTTTGTTGCGATCTGTGGTCGCCATCATCAAAATACGTACCTAGGTATATACGAATATATAGAAAGAAGGTACACGCTTCAATCGGTTATGATATCGTGTGTCTGTGATAGATATATACATAATATGATATAAGTATATAACCTACTTGAACATACAATTTAAACATAAACGTAAAAATCTCGATATTAAACGTCTGAAACTACCATTGACCATTTTTTTGATTATACCCTTCGGAATATAATATGTATGGAAAAAAAAAGTACCACATCATGTTTTACTTACGAACGACAGTAACGGAAATAATAATAACAGTAATAAACGTGTGTTTTAGAGCTAACATCAATAATACGCGTATCTATCAGTACGATGACAATCGCTTTACCTCGCCGGCCGTTAATAGGCACCTACCGATAATGTTTAATCTCGATTTAAATTAATTAAAGCGTTTCATAATAATGCCGTAATATTTTTGTAAAGATATATTGATTAATTTTAATACAAATTTCGTTAAATGAAACAAGCAAGTAGGTGCCTACTGACTATTGTATGTTATACATTATAGTAGTACTACACTAGTAATGTTTAGTGAAACAGACCTTCATAGCCGTTTAAATGGGCATTCAGCACTACAAACCGCAGTGTTGCCCAACCTTTTTTCCTCTGCGGGCCACTTTGGTTAACAATTTTATCTTCGAGCGGGCCACCAAATAATAAGAGTACGAATAATCCCAATCTCAATCCATCAATATAATTTTGTTGCACATAGTAGGTATACAATGTGCAATACATGTAGGTACATATTGGACTTGTTTTCTTATCTTTTATTGACTATTGAAAAGATTACAAATCAAGGTTAGGTAATATTTTACTTTTTTTTTTAAATATTTTGTTTTGTTTTGAAAAATTATAATGGGCCACATAGCGTATACCTTCGAGGGCCACGAGTTGGGTACTATTGCTATAAAGTATAGTCTACAGACTTAAAGTTCTACACTATTATAATATATTATATACATTAAATAAACTAAATAAAATCATATCATTCATATCGCTGATAGAGATAAGTAATAACTGAGAGGTACCTACCTACGTAATTATATTTATTAAAAGAACATTTTACATGTTTTCATTCAAAAATAAAATAACGAATTTACAATGCAACAAATTATTGAATAACTACGTCAATCGAATCGCTAACAATTATTGTAACACAATAAAAGTAATCAAAATGTGATTTCAATTACAAATCGCAATCCTAATTAGTTTTAATAAATTTAAAATTAACTATGCTACAAATAATACAATTGATTTAAGATATTATTTTATAATTCTAGATAGTTAATGTTCTATCGAAGAACTGATGGTGTTTAAATTGATTTGATATAAAGTCAATTACCATATAGCAATAGAGGATTCGCATTAATAAAAGGTTTAGGTATCTAAGAAGATAAATTTGAAAAAGCCTTATATCCCTGTTATGTCCGTCCGATTCGAGTTAATTACGATTGTTGATATTAATATGTTTAAGATATATTATATTTATTGACTGTTGTAGTGTTGTACATAGTTACGATTGATTGTATTCCTGCAGATATTTAAATTATATAGGTATTAAAATATTAGATCATAGTTTATTGCGTTGCATTAAAATAAGTTAAGAAACCGGGAATTTAGAACGCTCGCAATGTGTGCTTTCTTAACTTGTGCATATGACTAATTAAATTGTTTTTTAAAAAATATATAAATTCCATTTAGATATCAAAAGTTCCACAATGTTTTTATTAAATCTAAAATGAAGTACCTACCTATAATTTTTTTCACACTTCATAAAAAAAATCTGATGAATACATTTGTACCTTGATTAGTACCTAAACATAAAAATCGGTACCAATTAAATTGTAGGTAACGAAATAAACAATTTTCCATACGTGTTAACCTAACAGTAAAACACGTAATAGCAGAATGCAATTAATATATTAGGGACCTCAGAAAATACAACACCCTATCCAACATAATATAGACGTAGCATAAAGTCCAAACACAAAAAACATCAACAATATGATCAAATTCTTAAGAAAAACGGAACTGTATGATAAAATTTAACTTAAAAAAAAAAATTAATACCTATGTAACTATCTCACACTTGTGAAAGTGAAACTGTGAAACTTATTTCGGTTATCAAATACATATATTCAAACTATCAAAAACTTTTCAATATTCAGTGATCAAACATTTTAAAACTACATATTAGGAATATAATTACCTACCTAAATAATATTTTCATAATTTGTTAAATTAAATAAAACATGACTTTGGATTATAATAACAAGAATAAATTACATAGGTACAACTAACAAATATGACCATATGGGAATAAAGAAACAATGTTTTATTCTTGTAAAATATAAAATACTTATATTTCTTTATACATCTCATAGTTTATACTATTATCTATTATTGGTAATTGTTTGAAATAATCATTGCAATATTACATATCAAAGAGGTAATTTTCCTTTTATTATTGTTATTTGTTGACGATATGTGTCATTGATCTGTCATACCATTTACAGGAGTGAAAAACCTTCAATAACCAATTGGTAGTAATAAAATATTTTTATTTAAATCGTGAAATCCGTCATATTATTTTTTAATTTGATTACTGTTTTTATTAGTTTATTGGTTTTAAAGTATACGTTTCACAATTATGGCATAGTCGGTATACATAATGATATGAAGTAATATTATACTTAGATAGGTAGTCAATAGTCATAGATTATGATCAGTGTTAGGAACTTGTTGGCATTGTATCTTCACAGACTACAGAGAAGCGATATCAAATAAATTTTAAATCCGTTATGTGTTAATATGATTTTTGATCCATGTGTCATCAATATCTTTGGAATAAAACAACTTACCAGATAAAAAGTTTGTCTAATACGTGATAATTTTTTTCGCTTATGATTTCTTTTTAGAATAAATTTATTTCCCGATGAAATTAGAGACACCCATTTGAAAATTATATAAGTAGGTACACAAAAAAATTACACTTTTTAATGCAATATGGTTCTGTATTTAACTGACTTATTAAGCTAAGGCTTAAGATATTTCTCTATAAAATCATTTTAAAAATCATTACTTATTTAATCACCTAATAAAAATTAAACACAAATAATTATATATAACTTAAATAACATAGATATTTATATATTTTATAAAATGATAAGAATTTATTATAAATACATTTTAGAGATTTTAATAAATATACCTAACGAGACCAAAACCCTGTTTCTAAAAGCATAAATGTATAGATACAATATAATCGGGGTATCAATATAAAAAATAACTTATAAACTTGTACTTACCATGTTTCAATATATTTAACTATTAATTATTCCTGATCTAAATATCTAACATGAATCTTTAAAGATAATTTTTCTTTAATTTTGCATTAAGCCATTTTGCACAGTTGGGGTCTGCGTTCCGATTAATCTCCCACTGCATTCCAACGTCCAAGGGCAGTCGTCTATAACAGGGAGAAGGCAAGTAGAGAGTACAATCATGCCCCCTGGCTTTTAGTGGTAAATTTTATTTTATACATTTTTTTACTCGCTTGTTCCGCCTGTGGGTTGATGCAGTTTACAATTTTACACACATACAATATAGTTATTTATAACACGAACATGTATCGGTTTTTGATACTGATTTTTATTTTTATTATTATTCTTTTTTTTTTTTGACAATAAAACCAATTACATGAATACCAGTATGAACAGTGTAGGCGTAATTATCATAATTTAATAATGTTTATAACGTCATAACGATTAGTGCTGTAGAGATCAGATCTTGCTACAAAAATATTATATAATAATATGTTCACATTAAACGCATACTTCAGAAATCTTCAGGTTCTAGTCATAATATGTATATTATATTCTCGATATAAATATCTCAACCTAGGTTTAAGAGTTAAGAGTGATTCTTATAGATATTAATATAGGCGTAAATATTAGTAGATAAATCAAATCATAATTTTAAATATATCAGTAATATTATTAAAATCATTAGGTATATTAAAATATGGTTTTCAATAACGATTTTAAAATAGACCAAACGTATTTACTGAAATTTTAAGTTAAAAATGTCATCGCTAGTAATAATACAAATCTATATTTAGTACATATACACTATAGTTAATACATGGTATAGATACTCCATGATTTATTGATATCGTCTTAGATTGTAAATATTAAATACTAATATGTATAATCATAAATCAATGATATCACAGCACATTTGTAAGTGAAGAAAATGGATCAATTTCTTAAAATAACATTAAAGATAGGTAGTGCAATATTGCTATAAATGATATATAAAACCATAATCCTCTGCTCAAAATTGTTTTTTCTAACATCAGGTATAAGTTATCATCACATTCAAATGTATAATAGTAGTGCACACTTGACTCATAGTGCACCATCCGTCACTTAGTTTAGTTAAGCAATATGACAAATGCCCCTAACAACTTATGTCTACATTCCGTCTTGCATTGTTGCTTTAGGCTTAAGGTGCCTGTAACTAAAATATAAAAGAAATTACAAAAAAACTCTTTTAAAAAATAATAAACTGCATTGCGCATTGTCCCTAGAAGACATTGTCCCTAGAAGACATTGCCAAACAGACATACCTACATTACCAGTGACTACTAATCATGATTTATCGAATTATATATATTTTTTTCTGTGGAAACTTGAAGACTTATGGCTATGATCTGAGTATGATCATTTGGTACCTTCATTTCAACTAATCAATATTAAATATTTTATCTCAAACATATACAATAGAATAAACTTTCATTTTATAGTTATACATTTGGAATATTCCTCATTATTTCTAGTCAAGTCACTTCAACATCGAAAATTATATTTTATTCTATAACTAAATGTACACTCCTATTCCTATATTAATCTCAATAGATTACAATATTGCGTGTATATATATCAATATTTATTTACTTAAAAAGTTTAAGAATAATTTACACATTCATGTACCTATTGGTTGGTTACATATACCTATATAAATACAATGTATTACAAAATTATATTATTAAATGTACCCATTTTAAATTATACATAGCTACACTTTAAAAATGGATAATAAATTTGAAGAAATAGCTATGATAATATATAAAATATCCTTTGAGTTTAATTCGTTGTTATTAAAATACGATAATTTTTACTCAGTGTTCTTTTCAATATGTACTAAACGTGGGTAGACTGTTAAAAAATATATAATTATAGTTTATTGAGTTTTTCTGTAGCACTTTTTCTGGAATGACAACATAATTGTTACAGTTAATTCAAATAATAGTAATTTAATACATGTTACTTGTATACGATGGGTATTCGAAAAAATGTTATGACAACAAATTATATACTACCACCAAGCCTTAAGCCATCCCTCTTCTTAAGCATAACACTCCCATAACGTTTACAACAAGTCACTAGAGATATTGTACATTTCTAATATACAGGCTACAGTTCGAATTAATTATAAATTATCTTGTTAAATATTATGCCTGTATCAGAAAAAAATGAACATGTTTTTCGCTAAATGTTATTTTATATGAATAAAATCTAGAATAGTATATATTATATTTTTATAGAAAGTAATATTTTCTCAAAACTCTTTAGTGTACGAATTTTTGTATTTATTCAACAAGAGAAAATGAGAATTGTATGTACAATGGCTGATTTTAAAGAGGGGAATATCAAATTGGATCCTCTCATATTAAGAACAATCCAAATTAAATTGGCTACCCAAAAAAAATTTTCAACTGGCTCCAAAACCATAAAATAATATCATTCAACAATTATTGGTTCTCAAAAATAAAGTGCTGAGCAAGGTGTAATTGCAAAGAAAACTGGTTTTAAAATATTGGTCTTAAATATGATATAATATTATAGTAATTAAGCGGATACTACTCATAAATTCTAGTTTAAAGCTCTTATGCCGAGTCCACACTAGTTTCTGTTTTTAAAAACAATTTAGATTGTTAATTCTGTGTTGAGAAAATTTGAATTTAAGTTTTGTCTTGTTTTCTATTCTTGCGTGGATCCTAAATTTGTCTATAAAATTCTGCAATGGAAAGATATTTGAGACAAAATACAATTTTTTAGTAAATTAAATTAAGTTTTATGACTGATTATACCTACCTATAATATTTTCATATTTTCAATGTACCCAAATATTAGCAAATAAAAATAGTATGGTTTGCATCCATTTATTTATCTATGTATATTGTATATGTTTAACTTGAAATTCGTGATTAAGAAAGGAATAGGTGTATTACTACATTTATCATTAAAATAATATTTTGGCTGTTTACTAAATTTAAATTTCAAACATTTATTTCCCAGCAACAATTTAAATATGGCAAATAAAAAAGGATGGACTTGCCTAATGTATGCTTGCTATTATGGGAACAAAAATCTTGTAGATCGTATAATAGATTTAGATCCAACAACATTGTTCTCGATCAACAACGATAAACAAACACCTTTAATGATTGCAACCATGTCCGGTAACGTATCCATAGTGAAGAAAACATTTCACGTAAGTAAAAATATTTTATTTTTTATTTTTTATTTTTATTATATAATTATTCTTACAATAAGATTGTAAGTTTCCAATAATTAAATAATGTTCAAAACACTAAAAGAAAAAAATTAATTTTAAGTTTCAATATTTTTTTGAATAGAAATCTCTTATTAATAAGTACCAATTAAAAATATTGTAATACTTGATAATTATTGATTATAATATGTAATTTTTGGATTTCAAATAAATAGCGCCAAATATTAAATTAATAATTATATCTTCCAATTTTGAGTACAAATAATATAGGTGTCTGCATGAAAATCAATATTCATTCTATACACCTAAATCATTGCCTATTTACATATACACGTTTAATCTATTTATTTATATTTTTTTGCACAAAAATAACTTGTGTTATAGTTGTTATACATTATTTTTATACAATTAATATTTTATCAAAGTAAATATAACCACCATAATTGTTCGTATTAAAATATTAAATGTACCAAATAAAATTCCATAGTGTTATAATCTCAGAGTACCTAGGTAATAAATATTGTAGATTATAAGCACAAGAAAAACTAACAATTATTTTAAAATTTAACCGTTGCTCAATACTTAATAAATATTTTAAATAACACAATTTTATTATAACATGTGCATAAGGATATTATTAAATTTAAATACTCACCTAAGTGATCCGCGGTATATTGACTTATTGACGGTTTAAACATTTCGTTTACCCACCGGAGTTTGAAGACAATTTCTTCCCTGCATAAGAAGAACAATGTTGAATATATAATTTATATTATATTTAATTATAGTTCACGGATACAACGAACGTATGTAATGGAGTGTTTAACCAACGTCATATTTCTTTAAAATAGCCGACCATAAGGACGTGACCACATGAATAAATTAAAATGATTTTATTTGTTCCACCAACAACGGAGCCGTCGCGTCGTTGCCCGCTCATTCATGCACGGACATCTAGTTTCGTTGTATTTTATTCGCGTAATTTGCATGGTGGTATTTAAAGTGACATTTGATCCGGAAAAAACTCAGCTATCAAGATATTTCATTCGGACGCTATATAATTATATTTAGCACATTTGTGGATATAGAAAAAAAAATCAACTCGTATTTAGCCAGTATCCGAGTGGGAAGGTCAGTTGAGAGGATAAAAAAAAAACACGTAAAAAGCATTACATTTTTGCGTTGGAAAAAGGAAATATAATATGTGATCACTTATTTAGTCCACGATTATGGTATTTATGAATAGATATTTTAATGCGTTTAAATATACCGGAAAGGTGGACATTATTATGGTAAACTAAAGATATCGATTAATGGTTTCGTATAATATTTAAATGTATTAATATTATTAGATGTATATCATCGAACAACAAACAGTCATCATATCATCTATAAGTGCATAGATTTATAAGTGTTATGTAGATTTGATTTTGTAATTTTCACTAAATAATCTGCCACACTATTTTATTTAATGTAAAATAGGAAGGTATCTACATACCGTTTATATATAACTATATATCCATGGAATGAAGATTCTGCAGTGCTATACGTTTCAGAAAAAAATGTTAATTGTTTCAGATGATTTATTCTGATTTGAATGTCTACAAATATGTTAAAAAAGTTTAAATTAACTATTATAAAATTAAATTCAAATTCAAATGACAACCCATACGTCATGTACCCAGGTAATCACCTATAAATATGTACCCACAATAAATATTACTATACATACATATTCATATAAGTGTATAAGGTATCCCTGAAAACTGCATACATACCTTACCTAATGGTTAATATTGGTTAAAAATACTAGTGTCGAACCCAAGTACCTATAAGTTAGGTATTAATATTATATTATATATTAATGCGTAGTATATGTAGTTGTAAATGATATGTGATATATTGTAGTACACTAGTACATTGTTTTATATTAAAAATGAATAAGCAATTTTCAAAATTTGGTTGATAGGATCATGATACCTATTACACTGTAACTGCACAAAATGAGTAGGTAACTACCATTTAATTAATGACAATGGTTATAATTTTTAACTCTTTAAAACTTTTAATTTACTAACAACTACTCTAGGCTTTATTTAAATCTAAATTATTATTAAAGTATTAATCATGCTCTTTTGTATCATACGGTGGCAATACTCAAACATAAAAAAGTTAATTTTATTAAAACATAAGTTTTTTGTGTCTTTTTAATTGATTATTAGTTTATCTTCTGTAACCATTAACTCTTTTACACGAATATACGATATCATAAAATAAATTAACATGTACATATTATATACATTATGATTTATCAGTATTAATATAAGTAAAAAATTCTATCATTGTACCAATAGTTTAATAATTACCTAACTAATACAGTAATACTATATAATATACATAATAATAAAATAAAATAAAATAGGGACAAAGAAATGTTTCGTACTAATATCAACAATCGTTAAAATGGATAAAACTTTGCTTAAAGTTAAAATACATTTCGGCAATTAATAATAGTAAAATACGTGTTATTTAATAATTTTAATAAGTGTTTCACAATATCTGTAGCTTAGGACTGGGTGACGTCAAAGTTCAATTGACACCAACTCTGTGCGTCATTCACGAATGAAATGATTCCGGGTCTAGGCCCTATTTATGTGTTCCAGCTAAGAAACAAATTACGTAGATATGCTGTTCCCTCTTATTATGACAATTCTCATATCGATATATAATTCTCAGAGTTGGTACATTTCCTACACACCGGATTTCACCATCGCAAAATTTGGCCTCGCATTCCATATAACTGAATAACAATTTTAACATACAACTGTGGAATAATAGATGATGTATAATTTTATCATATTGATGACATTTTATATGAAATTATTGTTTTCAGTGTAGACTATCGTTTACGTAGATATACATATTATGTGCCTACAATCTACATTGTGTATAATATACTGTCTGATTCTTAAATTTTGTGATGAACAGATTATGTTATAATTATTTAGGAAGATTTATTATTTTTAATACACAAATAATATTTAACATGTATCCAGTGACTTCGTATTTTAGATTTAAAATTTCGTTCCTTTTCGTTTATTGGATATGAAGTTAGAGCGCAACAGCTTGAAGTTTTCGTGGAGATGCTAGTAAGAGAAGCGTTTTCGTAGTTGACATGTAAATAATATAATCTAATATTCATAATGCTATTACTCAACCATATTTGAACCTAGAAAGTTGGTACAGGCACTTAAATTCGTGAAAATAGTAGCAATCGGGTAACGCAGTAATGTACAGTATACCTGGTAACTGATCTAGTGAGTCACTAACGACGATGTTAAATTTGAATTCAATGATTTATCAATATAAACGAAAAACAATTCTGACTGGAGACATCTCGTAAGCCAATATTACCAAGTATATTTTATCATATTAGTTAGCCTACGATATTTTATATTTAATTTATATTTCCATTAGTAATTAATTTTACAATTTAACATTATAATATTCATTTTTAACTTTTTGTAGTATTCAGCATGACTAATGATGAAGAACATTTTATTAAATTTTCAAGCCTTAACTATAAAAATTGATAATTTTATACATTTTTTACTCCAAAACAATTTGCTCATTTTGGCGAATTTTATTAATATTTAACCTTCAAATGTATGTAAAAAAAACTTGAGCATATACAGATATTGAATATTTTTAAATAAGTATAAAGAATAAAGAAATTTACATTACATTTTCAATTTTTTGACTAAGTTAAACAGTTATATCGATATTTATAGACATAAAACTAAAAAATAAAAAGAGGCAAAATATCTTGACAAATATACCATGTATAAAATATATTATTGTAGATATTTGATGAAATTGTCAAGTATCTACAGTTGTTGGTTTTGAAATAACAATGAAATAAGAAAATTGTTCGAGGACCTAGGAGAAATAGTTATTTGATGAGTGAATATACAATGTCATAAAAATTCTAACTTCAAACTCTCATAACTTTTGTAAATTAACGATCAAATTTTTTTTTAATTTCAGTAATAACAACTTATGAAAAACCTTGTATTAAATATTCGAGCTTTTTGACAGAGTGAAAAATGTAATAGTTTAAAATTGAACAATTACATTAAGATATTCTATACTTCCAAATATTGCGGAAACCATGAAAATAACATGTTTGATAAATCTTATTTAAAAGATTATAAGTAAAAACTTATAAAAACTATTTTTATAAATCCTAATCAACCTAATGTTCTATTTGTTATCTAATCAATTATTGTACAATAAATTATAATATAAAAAATAATTAAAATATAAATATAAACAATTTTTTTAATCTGTTCCAATATACACCATGAACTCAAAATCTCAATAGAATAAAATCTATCAAAATATATAATAATAATAATAGTCTCTAACAAAACATAAAACAATACACCATTACAGAAAAAAATGTCTTACTACTTCCGAGTTCCTAATAGTTATATTTGTATAAATATAATATAAAAAGGCTTATAAAAGTTATAACATTATAGTAAAACTAACGATGAATCATATTTTTAAAATGTTTGGTGAAAATTTGTTTCAAGTATATTTTATTTTAAATGATAAAATAAAATATTAAAATATCATCTATTATTTTCGTCTATTACTTTATGTTTCTATCTCCTGATAATCATAAATGTAGGCAACCAAAATTACATAGCACTGTATAATAGAGAATGAGAAATAATATGATAATCTGTATCATGCGTCTTGACTATACAAGTCATATTTATTAGTGACCCCCCGGGGTCCAACCATGTTATGTTGTGTGTTGACTCAAGGTAGTTTAAAAAAATGTGTAAGCTGTTTATTTGGTTATCTTTTGATCGATCGATTAAAATTGCATTTAAAAAATCCTTAGTGCAATTTTTATAATAAGAATTACACGAAAGTATAAGATTAGAATAAATAATTTAAAAAAAATTATTTTCAAGAACCATCAATTAAGAGTTGTGTTTCGAGTGAATAATGTAAGGTTAATTTAAATTTCATTATAAACAGATAGGTTGTCTTAGTGTTGTACAAATATTTTGGCCTAGTAATGATTTATAGACAATTCTTAATCGCCCATATAGATTATAATATAATATTATAATATTCAGTATGTATATATACGAATCATTTGTAGGTACTGTAGGTACACACTAAACAGGTATTCATAAGTTTTTATTTTGGTTTCAATACCTATGGAAATTATCATTTTTTTAACGACGGGTAATTAATCATAATTTCCAAATATACAATAACTTATTGATAATATTAATAATATTTTAAACAATCAAGTGAATATTTTAACCGCTAGGTAGAAAAAATTGCCCATGATATGGTTTTTGTGAAAGAAGGTGGAATCAAATAATTATGTGTGACTTGTATTCGTTTTAGTAAAACACATACAAGTACTTAATGTAAATTTATAAATTATTGATGATGGAAATGATGATCAACTAACAGTTTATGGAAAATTTCCGTATAAACGATTTGTTTTGTACATAATTTTGTAACTGATGTGTGAAATTAATCTTTGTGTAGGCTTTACACAGGTATACCAGTTTTCAACACTGTTTGATGAATACGGCATTATACTTAAAAAAAACTAAACATATTATGGGTACGGTGAATAGACAAAAGAAAACTGAAACGTTAGGTCACGTTTAGTCAGTTGAAAAGTACAGGCTCTACTACGGTGCTACTATCATTTAGTAACCGCATGTATTGTTTCAAAAATATAATTAGGTGGATCGTAGATTTGTATAAATATTTAAGACAACGTTCAAATGTAATAACTAATAAGATACACTGATTTTATTGTATTAAGTTTTCAATTAAATAGAAAAATATATTGTGATTAAATATAAAAATAACCGGGGAAACAAAAAACAATATTACGTTAAATTAATAAAAATTATAAATGACATAAGTATAATATACTACGAGTACTATAATAATTAAAAACATAATAAATGAAATGTTTTTGTCAACAATTAATTAAACCTACCGTATTACTAATAATAAAAAATATTCAAAATAGCAATTCAAGTATATAATAATACAAAATATACTTAGTAAATAATAAAACAGGCTGACAGAATGCTTAGAATCGTTTTTCATATGTAATAATTTATCATCGTTTTAATCAAGTTTTATAGGTTCATTATTGTGGTCTATACCGCGCATACTCGATGACAATTATAGGTACACTCGGCACCTACGCTGCCCACAATAGGAACAACGCGAGTTTTCCTGTCTTTTTAAACACACTGATAAGCCCTAGCCCTATGATGATTTGGGTCCGAAAGTCTATGTTTAATAATATTTAATTAATTTTTTTTTCAAATTTTCTACTCATGAAATATTTATTATTTTACTTTAGATTCTATTATTATAATAATTACTTCTGTATTATACACAATAAAATTATCTGTTTAAAAATGGTTAATTTTAATAACATTAGTAATTTGAAAAAGCGATACGAAAACAAGAGGTGTGTTCAAAAATCTATTCATTAAGTCGATTAAGACGTAATATAGGTACTCATGCCTGAAGTAATAATACTGCTCAGTTAATGATTAGTGATTAACTATTTTTCTTTTTTATTAAAATGTTCTATTGGTATTTAACTGAAATATGTATGTTTCTTTTGTAGTAAGTAACGTTTTATGTAAACTATTTTATAAGCATAAACTGTATCTAAGATGAAAAATGCATTCAAATAATTGCGATCGCCGATCGCTTTCACATTTAACACTACACACATGTCTATTGCGTTTTGTCAGTTCTGCCTTCGTTAGTCGCCAACCTCTATAGACCCATTATACTATTATAAGTCATATATCTTACTCGAATCGGCATTCTTTTGCGAATATTTATTATTTATAACTATTTTTTAGTGAAACCCTTGTCAATATTGAGGCCACTCGTCTTTGCGAAACTATTTTCCCACTCAATATACGTTTTCTATCTACTTGCACAGTTACACCTACTCTGGCGATATTCTTCCTTCGTGACAAACATCTATATATTCGTTAGATGATCCAACGAGCCACCGCCGTCTATAATGGTCATCTCCAGGAACCAGTAGTGCGTGCATTGATTTCATATATTTTTTTTTTAAGATTTGGAGTGGGGATTAACAGGTTATAACTTCTAATGATTCAACAATTGAGTTGATTTTTTTTCCCATCGGCATGTAGTATTTGAGGTGGACAATATACAAGAGCCTGGTACCGAAAGACAAATTTACCCACAGTCACATTTTTGCCATCGATAATTGAACGGACGCTGCAAACTGGTGTAATTGCATCGTTAAGTATTGCCATGCATTCTAAAGACTCCAAATTAATGAGTGTACCTATAGATAGTGTGGCATGTTATCTTTGTAGCCACTGTAAATGTAGGCACCACTAAACGCCGACTATTTCGATTGAACAAATGTACATGATCGAAATGTTCTTAGAATTAAAATGGCATATTATACGAATATTAATTAAACGAATTTTTTAGGTTGACATTTTGGAGATGCCTGATAAACTAGGCAGATCTGCAATGTTTTATGCGGTATTATACAATCAAGAAGAAATATTGGAGTATTTTATTGAAAAACAAGCCAATTGTAACGTAATGTTAGTAGATTCTTTTATTGATGAACTCAAAATGCACTGCAGCTTATGTGTATACAATACAATGATAGGTTAGGTTAGGTTAATAATTACCTAACCTAACCCATAGACTGTAATAGTACATCTACACTTGAACATATTTTGTAGTTAAAAGATTATATAAATAGTTTTTATGTAGATACTTTAGTTAAGTAATGATACTGAATTCATAATAACAAAATATCTGTGTGTTGGCTTGAACTCCAAAACTTATTTAAAACTAATACTAGAATACACTTCTACACATACCTATAACAATATTCTATCTCAATTTAACAATCTCATCATATTTTTACCGCCTAATTATTTTTATAACATGTCATTTTATGCGTAATTTATATTCAATAATGAAATTAATAGAAAAAAATGTATCCATTTAATATGACGAGGGTTTAAGTTATATTGATCAAAAATTTATATTAGACTTGAAAGATTCTTATCCGAATAACTTAACTACTCAATTCAAAGTTCTAATTTAGTATATACCATCCTAAACTAGAGTTAATTAATTTAAAACAGAAAACATTCAAATATATTAAAATAAAATTATCAAATATAAAACAATATAAAAAATTAACCAGTAAAAAAAATATAATATGGTTTCATTGCGTTTTATAAGATAAACCTTTTTTTCCTTCGTTCAAAAAGCAGGAACGGGTGGGAACTTTTTATTGCAATTATACAGCCGCCCGATTTATAAAATAAACATAAACTGACAGGTAAACTGTCACTATAGTAGTATAGTCCATAACCAAATGTATCTCTCCCAGTCTCCCATGTCCCACGGTATTTATAAAATATGTTACAAAAATATAAAAAGATTATTATAAGTAGATTCTAAGCATACAAGATTGGTTTTTAATAATTTATTTATGTACATTGTACAATGACACGATATACCTACCTATAACTGCCTGTTTTGTTTTTTACCTTTATATAGGTAAGTAATACATGTATTGTATAAATAATGACAAGAGTTATTTAAGGTTTAACTATTCGAAGTTAGTTTTTACTAGAGGCTAATACAAAAAAAAAAAAAATATTTGAAGTTCAAAATATAAATAATATCGTGATATTCGTATTTCCTTGCATTGTGTGTTTTATTTTTCAAATCTAAATGGTGTGAAGAAATGAATTGAATATAACATTTTTTTTTTCTAAAACAGTATTTATACTTACTGCAACTTTAAATTTTAATTGAAAAACCTCTTAATAACACTTTGGATCAATTTTTAACAAATTAACGATACATCTGATGTGCTTATACGTAGGATATCGTAACTTTCAAAACACCTTTTAGATAAGTAGGTGCAGTCAATATGTTGATGGGGTTTTATATTATTTGTTTATAAATGTAGTCAATTGGAAAAATGTAAATATACAATTTACAATAAATTTACGACAGTTTGACTTCTTACATAATTTATTAATAATATTAATGAACCTATTATTATTTTGGTACTTAAACTTTAAAAATCATAAAACCGACGTATAGAAAAATACATATTACATCGATAGGAGTCAGGAAAACACCACAATTCAAACCTTAACTATAGGCATCTAGATTGTAATATACATTTACATAGTAGGTACCTACTTGTTTTTATAGTGACAACTTCGGCAAGACTATGACTATGACAGCTATCTCTAAAGGATTCCGGAGAGTAATGAAATTGTTGTACGAGTATGAAAATAGAGACGAAAAAAATGTGTTGAAGACTATGTGGTCAGAAAAAATGGAAAAGGCCAAAATCGATCATCAAAGTGACGAACGTTTAGGTGTGTTTCATTTCACTAAATGTGCATACTTTTAACTATATAAACACACTACAGTGTTTATTTTATAGTTAAATATTCTGAAATTATTTATAGTCGTATATTATTATAGATTATCACGTAGAAAAACTATTAAGACAGTTGTCGCTGGAAAAATATTGGCCGCTGTTCGACGAACGAAACATCCGGTATAATGATTTCTTGAAGTTATCTGAGCAAGACTTAAAAGATATCGGTATAAAGTTAGTATACAATAAATATACACAATCATCAGTCTTAAGTTATGATTATTAAATTTTTTTGTATTTGAGTAAGGTCGAGGACAGTGGCATAAGCAGTGGTTCTAAGGTCCTACCTATTTCCATTTTCATTTAGGGGTTTTTTGTTAAGTAAACCTATTAAAATACATGTATTTAAATAGTTTCAAAATACGTCTGCTTTGACTTTTATTCTAGAATACCTACTAAATGCTTTTTTTTAAACAAATTAAATCACAATTATAAAACTGAATAATGCATTTGAATTTTAAGCTTTACTTATACGTGTTTTATGTGTCTACTGAAATTTCTTTATTGTAATCTAAAATTGAAACTATATTAATATTTGTATAAATTGTAATTGTATTAAAATATTAACTTGACCTAAAATAATCACATTTAATCGAAGTAATTAAACGTTGAAACATTTATGCAAGAAGTGTAATGTTTTTATGTAGGTACCAGCCACCAGGTACCTACATATATTGAATCCGCACTAGATAACTGATAATACAAATTAGGTATGATTTTTTTTTTTAAATTTTTTATAGTTTATTTGGTCCAAGGAGGAAGTTAATTATGACTATTGACAAATTAAATGAATTAAGAACATCAGAGGAACACTCAAGAAGTTGAAAATTGCGTAGACTTTTTATTTTATATTAACCTTTACTGTATTGATGTACTTTTATAATTTTTACCTATAAATATTTATGATTTTTATTTGTATTTTTTTTTATTAATTAACATAACTTATTACACTATTTATACTTACCTTTTTATTTTGAAATATTATAATTTATAACTTTAAAATATATTTTTACATGATATTATATTTGAAATTTTGAGTAATGTGAAAAATATATTAAATTTTCATGATAACATATTTTTTTTATCTCTTCAATTATTGAAATCATTAGTCTGGTACATTTACTTACCAATGAATGATGTATGTACATATTATGAATAAACATCATTATTGATGCTTTAAATTCTAATTTTTATGTTCATAACATAACTGAAAGTCTTACGCTCTCAGGTTGTACATGAGCTGTCACTCTTCGCACGACGGAGGAGGGAATACCTTCTTTCAATGATACCTGGGAGAAGTGTTCGTAGTGTCCATTCCTCTCGTACTGTGACATAGTATAAAGGTGAACGATTACAGTTTTTGCAGCAAAACTCACACCCGATCAAAGGCAACCCCAAAGCGAGAAACGTTTGGATAACTCTCTTGACAGCGTGGCTAGAAGCTGTGGGTGGGTAGGCTATATAAATGTTCTTCCCGATATTCTGGTCATATTTTGTCACATTGTAGGACTTGTATGAGGACTGAGAAGGTAGATCCATCTTCTCCCGTCAGAAGGGTAGAGACAAGAGAGGCGGACGGCCAGAGTGGCTAGACGACCTAAGCTCAAGACTAACACTCACCGTATTGTCCCGAAGACATGTAACCCTAAGGACTTGCAGTACCTAGTGGATTCTTAAAATTTTTTCCTGGTGGAGTGGTTGAAAATGATACTTATTTCGAATTAATTATTATTATTGAAGACAAGTATTGACTGTATTTTTTTTTTAAATACATTATAATATATAGGTTGTCTGGGAACCAAAGGGTTCAGTACCCTTGCCCACCACTTATATTTGCTACTAATACTGACATATTGGGTATAGTGAGTAATTACTTTCTGCAAGAGATTTGATAAGGAGCAAGTGGGTAATTTCGTTTTTAAATCTTCCTTCTCAGTCAGGATAATTTCAGACGGCCCCGACAAGCTTGAAAGGGTGAACGTATAATTTAATATTACCCATCCGACCTCCGCGACAGGAGACGTTCGACAATTCAGTAATAATCGACGGGCATATGTAATATGTAAATAAACAATAGGGTTAGTCTTAACTCTTAAAGTGAGTTTAAGTTAACCTACCTAATGTCAATGGCATACAAATTTGACGATCAAACTAAAATAAGATTATCTAAAAGAATAAAAATTATTTATTGTGCAATAATTAAGGTTTGTTGTGTTCCATTTATTCAATAATCTGTCAATAAATAGGAAAAAACTATTCGAAGTGAATACGTATATAAATGTTAAAATGTATAATACCTTTATTATGATCAGCGCTATAAGAAAAATTGTGTACAGAATAACATTAAATATGAACATTTGTCACTATAATAGTAAGCATATATTATTGTTATCACTTTCACAATGTGTAAAACCATAATGACAATTAGTTGATAGGTAGGTACTCAGACGTCACACATAAAAAGGAATTCTTGGAACAAATTCCTTTAAAAACTTTAGTTTATTTTTTATTTTTATTTTTTTAAGAGAGAAAACGAGAGCGGAACAAAATACTTTTATCTATAAAAAATAACTATCTAACATTGTACGTGCTTTAACTGTTATTGTAATAAAATAAGTTCTAGAGACAAGTTGAAGTAGGTACATAATAAAATACATCAGTTCACTGTCGAAAAATGTGTGAATGGGCGCGGGCATAACCGTAGGTACCTACTACATAACTTTAAAGGATAGCAGAACTTACAAAATTGAAAACATTTAAATTGAGATTACGTAATTGTAATAGGTATAAATTTGTTAGATTCAATGATAATTCTGCATTTTTAAAAAATCTAAACATTTACTGAAAAAAATCCAATTTTTAAAAGGACTCAATAATGATTTAGCCGCCCCATAGGTGGAGTAAACCAGTAAACCAGTATATGAGTGTTTGGGGTAAAATCGTACATGATTTTATAATTTTTTTTTTTTTTTTTCATTTATTCAAATTAATTGTTTCAATACACTTAGTATTATTACAATGTAGCTTAAATTAACATAATATAACATAATGTATATTTTTAATATAAATATTAGCTATTAGCTTATCTAACTATGGTATAAAATATAATATGTGATTTAATGTACAGGTTATAGGTTTAATCGGGAATCCGGACAAATGTAATTATGGGGAAATAATGCCTTTAGTAATGAGAGTATTTAATACTGTGGATAGTAGGGAGATAAGAGGATTTATTAATAAGCTTAAATTAGATATAAGCCTGGAGCAGGTGTCGGTGAATTTTTCTGTGTGTGAGTTTTGTTGTTGTTGTTGTTTGGTGGCTTCTGCGTATGATTTTGCTGTGGAGTGAGCTTTGAATTGAGGGCGCTTAGTTGGTGGAATTTTTGGAGCAGCTTTTTGGGAAGCTGCCTTGTATACTGGGCATCCCTTAAAGTTGGCAGTGTAGTCCCCACTGCATAGGGCGCATTTGGCGGGACTGTTGCAGTCTTTGGAACAGTCTTCCGTGGGGTGATTTTCACCGCATTTTACGCATCTAGGTTTATGACCACAACAGTTTTTCGTGTGTCCGTATGATTGGCAGTTATGACATTGCGGAGGGCTGCGCTTTTTATGCGGTTTCTCGATCTTAACTTTAGTGTTAAGTAGTGATGTGATGTCGTGAATTTCTTTATTGTTGTCCTGAGGTAGGACATCTACAAAGAATAGTGGAAGGGGGGATTTGTTTTAGTTTTTGGCGTTGTACACGTGCTTTACTTTGTGACCTAGCTCGTTCAGAGCGTTTATGATGTCGATGTTTAATGTGGAATAGTGCAGGTTTCTAATGGCGACTCTGTAGGTGCGGAGGTGACGGGGGGTATATGAGTGGAAACTGGCGTCCGTTTCATGTAAGTGGTCAATGATTTTATTGTAATTTATACGAATTGATGGTATAACCTTGAGGTATTCCGATGATGCCCTGCAGGTGAAACCTTTAGGGCTGGTGATATTATTTAAGATGGTATTGAAAGCGGAAAAGTTCGCTATGCCTTTAATAAAGATAGGTGGAATGTCCGGGTTTCTGACCTGAACGGTGTGAGGCTGGTTCGCTGGAGGAACGTCCATCGAGTTGGATGCGGGCGTGGTTGCGGCTTCTTGGTCGCCGGAGTCATTTGTGGCGAGTACGGCAAAACGATTTGGTGTTATAAAAACTTTTGATTTTTTGTCAGTCAGACTCGGCGACAGCGACGAACTGGACAAATTTCTTTTAGACGAATTGGGTGTGCGTGAAGAATTTAAGCCCGGACTACGGGCGCTGTTGTTCATTATAAGTTTATAATAAAAACAAATAATTTATGTTGACTAAAATACGCGTATTCATAATGTTAATTAACGAGAGAGCACAGAGATAACGGAGCGATACGCCGAATAAAGCGACGTGCGTGCGTTCATACTGAATGTTGCGGCCGAACTGATTTTATAATTTAAAATAGTATCAATGGGTAGGAATAGTTTCCCAAAACGGGGTCTAGTAAAAAGGGGGAGGGGGAGTTTGATGATTTCATACCTAAGCTATATAGTTCACACACAAAGGCAAGGACAAAAACGATTAACACGCAACTTTACGGGTGTCTTAACTCTTAACGACTTAACCTACGCCCGCCCTTCGAGGGCCGATCCCACCCTTAATACCAACTAGTTCGGAGATCAAATCTAGTTTAGCGGCCACATTAGTTTTTAAAGAAACTTATAAATTTTAAATTTTTAAAGAGTAAAGAACGATGGTGCAAAAATATAAATTAGTGGAAATCAATATTCATTAGTCTTTATGTTATAGTCTTACGAAGGGTCTTTTCGGTGTTTTACGCATGCGTACCTAAACATAGCATAATATTTGTAATACAATAATTTAATGGAAACAAATTTTTGACGCATTTAGCATTTACTAATATTTTGTGAATTAAAAAAAAAAAATCTTACAAAATGGCCAGGCCACCATGCCATAATATGGTCCAAGCCGTCTGAAAAATTCCCATTTCCAGACCGGCCACTCCGCCCTTACCGTCAGATATATACTTTTTACTCGAGGAGCTTTTTAAATTTTTACTACAATAACCAAGTATTTTTTCATAGTGTGTTCAATACTTACCTATTATCGAAATACTGAAATACTGAACTTATTGACTTCTTGGGCTTACGGATAAGTTTTCAAATACTGTAGTACAGGCAGTGCAGTCATACAGTTACAAAACTAAAATAAATCTTTTAAGACATCTCCAAAATGCTGATAAACTTGAATACTAAATGAAGTTATCTTAAATAAATAGATTTATTCTTTGGCACTATTGTGCTGGAAATTGAAAACCAACCACAGCTTATTATTTACCTACTATTTTTATAAACATACCTTGCAATTATTTACCATTATCCCTGTGACCTTATTGCAAGTTAGTAGTTACACGTGTAACTTCTAATTTACATTATAATAAATTAATACATTTCACGTTATATTAATGATTGACTAGCTATCCTGCCCTTGCCAAAGATTTGTTTTATTTGTAAATTTACTTGCAAAAAAATGTTTCAGTCAAAATATTTCTACTTATTATAATAGAATCTATCATAATATGTAACAAATGACAACCATTTATATGAACAAAAAAAATATTATATTGATACAACTTAAATTATTGAAAACAATTCAGTGGTTCAAAAGTTACTCAAACATTAAATAGAATACACTAAATAATTATAGAAATAAAGAAAATATGGAGTCATTGCACATAATTATAATATATAATTCAAATTTTTCATAAGACCTGGACAGCATCAAACCTTAAATCGACTTATGACTATGAATGTAAAATGAGACTTGGCTTTCAGTGTTTGGACTTGAGTTTAAGTACTTTGTCCAAAACTATTTATTTAATGTTATTATTATAAGTGATGATTAATAATATTTAATACATACCGACATATTAATCATTTATTAAATGTGTATTAACTGGTTTATTTGTAAACAATATTTATTGTATAATATCGGAAATCTTTATTTGATACCTATATTATATTTTACAGATCTTAAAATTGTTAACTATTCAACCATAAATGAAAAAAAATGTGTATGTAATATATTCAGTTATAACAATAGTAGGATAAAACAAATGTATTTTGAAGAAAAACATAAAGTAAAAGGAATTAAAGTTAACTGAATTTTTAATTGGAAAAATATAAATTTAAGTAACAGGACCGACAATTTTTTTTATTTTATTGTAATCTTATCTCATAACATACAGGAACAAATTTCAACACAATAAAAATTATAGTCAAGTTTATTTTTTAGTTGGTTTTTGTTTCTTTTTTTGTCCGTTTTCAACTGGTATGCCTTTTGATATGGACAGTTTAGTTTTCAATTGTATCAGTAAATCAATTTCAGGCTGTAATTCACTTTTTTCAACTTTTGCTTCCTTTAATTTTCGTACTTTGTCGCCCTGTTAATAAATATTTCAAATTTAGTAAATATGATAATATAATAAAAATTACGTAAATATTAATATGCACTCTAAACCACTGTGGGTTGTTTAAATACACTGAAAATATTGAAACCGCTTGAATTGACATTTGCAAGCATGAATGTTTTTTTTTTTCATTTATACACATATTATTTAATATTTCCGTGAGAAATTGTTTTTAGAATTTGTGTAGTAACATGATACAATTAAAACTAACATGCATAATTATTGATCAACTTTTCAAATTATTAGCATCAACAATAAATATGTAATAATAATGTGTGTTATAGTTGTTATGTACTATATGAATTTATGTTATACTTTTTGGATCACTATTTTAAGGTAGAACACTTATTGATAAATAACTATAAATTGCTATATAATTACCTGTTTGGAAATTTCCTCTTCTAAGTCATCTATAGATATTGGATTAGATGCTAATTTCATTTGTTCTAAGCTTTTCTTCATCTCCAATAATGCTTTGACATATGGTTCCCAATCACTTTTTTGAGCTCCACTTTGCTTTAATTGCCGAACCATATCTCCCTATTGTTAAGTAAGTATAATATAAATTATAATTTTTTTTTTTTAATAATTAAAATCAAATTGCAATGTAGATAACTTTAACATTCAATAAAATAGGTTTGCTTACTTGTTTAGAAATAGCTTCTTCCATTTGTTCCACACTTGTAATTTGTTTAAGATCCAGTCCAGAAGCCACTGCTAGTTCTTTTTCCTGAGATTTCTGTTTCCCAGAAAACCGGCTTTTCAATTGATTGACAACTGATGGATCAATTTTTTCAAATAATGGAGCTGGCTATGTTGTAAATTAAAATAAATTAGTTTTTATTGTTTATAGGCATCAATTTATTGTTGACTAATACTTTTCCAATTTTATGGCCAGGTTGCAAGAAAACTGATACAAAGTTATTTAATAGAAATGTAGAAATATCAACGTTCAACTGTTTTGCAATTATATTAACAGTTTGTGGCATATAAGGTTGTAACATGACGGCTAGTAAACAAGCTAAGTTACAACTCAGTCCTATGACTGTACCTGCTCTGATTCTGAAATATACAATATTATACAAAAATGTTAGCCGTGTAAAATAAATAATACTTTAATTACTTTTCTTCACTTGATCCTTTTATTAACACCCATGGTTTTTGGAACTGCATATATTGGTTACCATGGCGAGAAATCGAAAGTATGAGTCGTAAACCATCTCTAAGTTTAGCCTTGTCTAACATACTTGTGTATTCTTTGAGGTCACGCGTTACTAATGCTAATAAAGTGAGTTCATCGTTTCCTAATTGAATTTCAGGAATAACACAATCAAAAAACTTTTCTAAGAACGATAAAGCTCTGAAATATTTTTTTTTTAGAAATTAGTAACTAATAATTATGTAAGACAGCATATTATTTTTATAAAAAATTATATGTGTGCAAAAATATATACTCTTTATATACTATATACTAATCACCTATTACAAAAGTTTCCTAAATTGTTCAACAGTTCAGAATTATTTTTAGTGGCTAGATCAGCCCAGCTAAATGAACTATCTTGAGATTCAGGACGCACAAACAATAAGTAAAATCTGAAAACATCAGCAGGCAATCCTGTATCTTGAGCATCATTCCCAAATACTCCAATACCACGAGATTTAGAAAATTTACCATCTTCGTAGTTTAAGTATTCTAAAACATAAATATACATAAATAAAACAGGTTAAGCTTAATTTTTTTTAAAACCACAAACCTGTTGCCATTATA